CTGAGTTACATATAATCCTGTCAATAATGAACAAAAGCTTGCGATATCAAACAATACGTATATAAGCGCACCAACTCTCATCCCAAAAAGACATTAAAAAACGTTACAAAGGTGCTATCCACTCAAAAAGCGTCAGAAGTATTCCGGAAAGCAACACATAAACAAAAGCAACTCTTAAACATCGGTATCTCTGTACTCGACAAATCTCAAAACTCTTAAAAACACGTGGGGCATTACTTTCCCCATCATAATCCGTACTCATAAACTCATTAAAACACCATAAAACTTCACAAAACTCAAAACACTGTGTTGCAAATACTTGTCCACTGAGGCGCGCTTAAATCGTTATAAAGGACCTCGAACGTCACTAAATATCAGTTTAAAACAAAGATCTGGGCGCTCACATACATACAATTCAACATCACTAAAAGAAACGGTAAAAACGATAGGAAAAGCAAGCAATACATTACATTACTGAGCAATAGGGTTGGGATTGTGGAAAAGAGTTCAACGTCTTGAGTTACAGTGCCGTTACAGTGTCCAGCGAGCGGTTTTCTAAGCAAATAGCTAAAGTTCTAATCAAAGTCTATAAGCGTCTCTTCTTATCATCGCGTTAGTCCGGGTCGTTCCTTGTCATCTTCTTGCCTTTAATGTCGCTCAATTCTTAATCATTCAGTCCTATACGATATTCGTCCTTCATAAGGGGTTCAGAAGTCTTCATGTCTTCAGCGTCGTCGTTCATCGGTGCCATACTGGTAAAGGTGTTAATCGTCAAGCGTGGTTTCGTCTCTGCCATCGAGCCAGTTAGTTTGGTTCGCAAGAAAGACACATCTTCGCCATTTCACTTCTCTTCACAGGATGTTAATATGCGTAAGACGCAATGCCCAGGGTTCTCACACCACGTGTCAGGGGGAAAATTCTTTTACTCTCGGGGTTCTCCACACTTGCCAGGGGGAAACTCGTCTCGTCTCTATATCTCGTCCCCTTGAGGTATGGGATCGGGAAAGCCAGTTTAACTTTACAGTCAAATGAGACACACACAACGGAATACGTTTCAGCTCTCGTCTTAGTCGGTCAATCGAGCACTCTATAAGACACAGCGCCCTGGGGAAAAATCCCCAAGACTATCGCAAGGCTGATCCAAGACTCTCTTAGACTGCGTCAACACTCGCCCCAAGTCTCTCCAGGACTGCTCTAGACTGCGTCTATCGTGCTGTGCTCCCCAAGACCAACTCATAACTCTCTTTATTCATTTTCAAAACTCTAACCAATTACAAAACAGTAAAAAGACTCTAGAGCGTAACCTTCAATCATAAAGCCAATCACGCTAAGCACTGAATACGTCATATCTTTCGATTAATCGTTCACTACATTAATAACTATGGAAACCAACTGTCAGAATAGCGGCGGTTATCTGGTAATTAGTTCCAAATCACTGAGCCAAGTTCCGTCCAAAACTTCAAATAGGCCTAAACGATGACAGACATAACACAGCAATTCAGCTAATAATCAGCTAATTAAGTCGGTCAACAGATACGCAAAAACAAATTCATGACACTATAATAAGCATTTGTATGGGGCGTGGTGGTTGGTATAATAACCGTCATCAACACTAACTGGGTTAACTCTTTTTCATTGATTACTCATTCAAAGACCGCTTGGTCTATACATATATATATTTTCAGGCAATGACAGACGCACCATGTTCGACCTCGGTCAAGTTCAAATTTGTCGAAGACGACTTCGAAGAAAGAAGGCAAAGACTTCACAGAGTCTGCGAAAAAATAGGGATGAACATTTCTGACGATCCACAAAAATGGGACACTGCGTCCAATCGTATACGCCTGTATGTCGAGGACACATATAAAATGCTGTATTGTCCTATCCATAAAGTGGCTACGGCGAATTGGAGGCGCGTCTTAATGGTATTGGCCGGTGACGTCGAAAACGCAACTGATGTTGGCAGGGGACACTACAACGAATACGCCACGAAACATCGTCAACTAAATTCTTTTCCTAAAGAAGAAAGAATTCGGCGTTTGAAAACATACACGAAGTTCCTGTTTGTTCGTCATCCATTTGAGCGAGTGCTCTCAGCTTACAGAGATAAATTTGAGCTGGGTGCCGAGCATGGAGAGTGGCTTTATCTGAAAACTATCGCTGCCTCAATACTGTACTGGAAGAACCGGACTGCAGTCACGAAAGTAAACAAAAACCAAATCCACAACGTTACGTTTGCGGATCTAGTGTCATTCATTGTTCATCAGGCTAACAATACAAGGGTTTCCATGGATATGCATTGGGAACGTATTCATGAACTCAGTCTACCTTGTATCATGCCATTCGATTACATCGGCAAATACGAGACATTGGCGCGAGACGCAAACTACATACTGGGAAAAACGGGAGCCGATAAAGTGATAAACTTCCCACCTGCGAATATCAATAATCATATTACTAACTCCTCATTCAGCATTCTTGAGAAATACATGACAACTTTATCTGACTCACTGCGAGCAAATTTTCGACAAGTTTATGAGTTGGATTTTGAAATGTTTGGATATAAATAAAAATAGTTTATTTTTGAAATTATTTTGTAATTGCAGAAAATGATATCATATATGTCAAATGAATTTTAACTCCAATTTTTGAGGTGAATTTCTCTTGAACCAATATAATCCAAAAATATATTTCCTAAATAAAACAAAATAATGCTATTAACATGCATAACAAATGTCCAACAACTAAATTAACTAAATTCAAATTTGTTGTGTCATTGGAAAAATGACAGATGTTAAATGAAAGTACCACACACAAAGTTGCT